CAAATCAGGAAAATCACGAAATGCAATAACAGAATCGCGTTAAAAAGGGCAAAGATTATGATCATTTATGATCGTAAATCCGACCGGGTAACCTCCATGTGGTACGCTTCGGGTAATGCTGATACCGGCGGTAGTTTTTGTTCAAAATTTTTTGGAGTCATTAAAAAAAAAATTTTTCAAATTAAACAAAAAATTTTTTTGCGTTTTTTTCAAGATTATGATCATTTAAAGTCAAATTGTGATCCTTTAATTTTTTTCAAAAATTCGGTTGAATAAAACAAAAAAACGGCTTGATCGATTGAATTGAAACTTTGTGGGGTTTTTGTGGGCATATTGAACTGTAAAAGACACACTTAACATTTCTGCTTTTCTCGATAGTTCCAACTTAGCGCTTGATTATCCCAAAAGCCACCAAATACCTTTTTTTCTTGATTTTTCAAATTAATGTAAAGAATAAAAAAAAAATTTTTTTCAAAAACAGTAGTTTAGTTTATTGGGAAATTTATTCAAGATTTCAAAACCTACCTTCATTTTTCTGTGCAATCAGCGGTTGCTGAGATATTGATGGTTAAAGACAAAAAGATCCTTTTCCATTCAAATTTCGATATCTCAGCGAGAGGTGGGGGTATTGAATTTTTCAAAAATGCAAATGAAAACTGAATAAACAAGTTATCCGATCCATAGAGTGGCTGAGTTAGAAAAATTTTTCCCAAGTTCGTAGACTAAAAAAAAAACTGAAATAAATTTAATAACAAAATTTTTTTTGGTATTCATGAGGATTGAGCAGAACATGTTGCTTGAAAAATTTTTTGATTATGAGATCTCAAAACTAGAAACTTCAAACTTTAAAACGCTTTTTTTTTAAATTCCAGTACGACCGTTTTCAAGGGAAAACCAGCCAGTTAAAAAGGGTCAAAAAATTTGGAATTTTTTTTTGATCCTTTAAATTTTTCCACTAGTGTATTATTTAAAAAAATTAAATTAACCCATTAATACCCAAGCCGAATCTAGCCGAGATAGCCTCAAACGAACTATTGCATCCATGGCATAGTTAAAAAAAAAGTTACCCGTGTTTTATCTTTTAGCAATCCCAATTGTTTATCAAAAATTATTTAAACAAATTACCAGAAATTTTTTGATTTTGAAAAACTAATAGCGGCAATTGATTCTACGGGAAAAATTATGACAGAAACCTCTATAACACTTTTTTGTCATAGCTCAATTTATTGTTGTTAAATCATGATAAACAATTTCAATCTGAATAAGTGAAGCCAAACCTGTTATATCCCAAGCCGAATCTAGCCGAGATAGCCCTAAAATAATTATTGTATCCATGGCGTAGGTAAAAAAAAAGTTACCTATTTTTTTCTTCTAGCGATCCCAATTGTTTATCAAAAATTATTTAAACAAATTAAATATAACGGGTTTGGCATCACTCGTTCAGGTTAAAATTGTTTATCATGATTTTACAACAAGAAATTAAGCTCTGATAAAAAAGTGTTACGGAGGTTTCTTTTGTAATTTTTCCCGTAGAATCTATTACCGCTATTAGTTTTTCGAAGTCAAACAATTTTTGGTAATTTGTTTAAACAATTTTTGATAAACAATTGGGACCGCTAAGTGAAAAAACACGGGTAACATTTTTTTACCTACGCCATGGATGCAATAGTTAATTTGGGGCTATCTCGGCTAGATTCGGCTTGGGTATTAATGGGTTAAAGTGTTTAAAATTGAATTAAATAATAATTACAATGAACAAGTTGACAAGAAAAAGAGACACGAGTGTAATTCTAAAATAAAAAAATACGGATAACCGTATTTAATAAAACGAACTTTAGTCTTTTAATACTTAAGAAGTTATTAAGAAAACTTTAAATTAAACTTTGATTTAAAATATTATTTTGTGTGATATGGATGATAATCTGCAGATCATCGAATTGAGTCTTTTTGAACATAAATAATATGAGACAAAAAGATAAGAAATTCTTATAAATATATTTGAAATAAATCTAACAAAAATAAATTAATTATATTATTAAGTTGAATATTTGAATAAATATTCCGATCAAAATTAAATATTCTGATTCAAGAAACTACTATTATTTCAGAGACCTTAAAAATAACTTTAAGATCGGCATTTTTAAGTTCATTGTCATATGTCAAGTCGATCGTTGTTAGAAATGTATCTTCAAAATATTGAGACTCTCAGAAAACTCAGATAAACAGCTACCGCATCGTTTTTGAGCACTGAACGCTGGGACCGTTAGCTTCTTTGCGGAGCAAGGTCTTCACTATAACATCAGTCAGATTCCGCTCTCTTATACTCCCCACACACACAAACAGTCTTACGTTAGTTCAATTAACGGACACCCTCGTCCCTCACCCTCGCTTGCTCAGACGCTCCACAACATATCCAATTCCCATAATAATTCCATTTTCAGAGTAAACTAAATAATTTTAGAAATTTTTTATGAAAAAAAAAAGAAAAAATTCATATTCACCCCTGAGCAAAATAGCAGTTGCAACCCTTTGGTATAAAAGTTGTGTGATGGGCCTTGACAATATTTGTTTAAGAAGGAATAATTTAAAAGTAATTATTCGGAACACGTAACTGATGAAACGTAAAGTGAAAAACTGTTGGTAATAAGCCAAAACTCAAACATGATTGTGTAGTTAAGAATGATTAACTTAAAATTCAGAAAAAAATCTTTGAAAGCCAATATTAATAACAATATAAACATAATGCATGATTCATAAGATATTAAGAAAACTAAAAACAGTTCATCTAATATTTACATAGGTTTAACTATATCTAGAATTCAATTGCTAAAAAAAAATTTGTCACAGAGATTTTTCACGAGTAAATAAAAAGTTTATATCAGAAAGGTGGATATTATATAACAAATAAAAATCATGTTTTATGAATAAAATATCTGAATGAAAATTAATCTGGAATAGCAAAACTTATTAATAATTTGGCGCAAATTAATTTTTTCATTGATAACAAATTCTAAATTTACAGTTATTTGTATGTGCAGCCATTTTAGTATTTGAAGGAAATTTAGTTGGATCGGTATAGATAGAGAAATGATACAAAAGTTTAGTGACACTTTGTTAACTACGTCGTTAACCTCCTTAGAAATTTTCTAATATAAATTAAAAAGAACATAAGAGTAAAATTCCAAGTAAAGACATTGTCTGTGATCAAAGAAAATTAATTCCTTTATTATTTAGTTTACAAAATGGTTTGCACCAACTAACAGCACGCTTTGCTGTAATTGAATCATAAGTAAATTTACATTTACTATGAACAATATCTTTACTTGGTGTTTTAACCTTGTATTCTTTCTTATTTTTATTACTAATTTTTTCAAGAGGTTAACGAATGAGTTAATGAAATTTAAAAAAGTGTTTTATAATTTAAAAAAATTTGAATATTCCTAAGTTAATAGAAATTGAATCTGTACAAGGTTTTAATTTTATTTTAATAACAATGAATGGCTTAAATTGTTAGCAAAAATAAGTTTCTACAAGTTCATATTTAATAATCATATTATTTTTAGTTTGTTTATTAATAGACCTACCTTATAATGCCGCCTTACATGATAAAACTACCTATATTTTTAAATCTTTTTGATTTATTACATGACTCCAAGAAATGAGATAAAAAATTTATTAAAAATCATGGCTAAGAATTTGTAATCTGATGAAAATTACTGACAGAAGAGAAAGACTTTTTTAGTTTTTATTTGAAAAATAGGTGTAGTTATGGATGGAATTATTTTGGTATACAATTACAAAATTATTAATAATATAAAAAGATATGTTGTAATATAAAAAGATATGTGCATGTAAACCACAAATTACAAATTTACAAAAAAGTAATGTTTTGGCCAATTTATCCAGAGCATTTTTTAAAACAACATGATCAGAATGTAAAAAACTTTGTCAATTTCCCAATTACATCTTGTGTAATAATTTTTGATAGAAATAGTAACAAATATTGTATTATGGTAATATAGAGATTTTTATAATTAAGCATATTTCATAGTTACAATGAAAAAACATGTTCTTATATATTGAGGCATTCAGAGATAATAAGTATAAGATATAGCTAACGAAAATTGTAAATATATAGGACTTATTTAAATATAGAGAATCAAATTCTGTTATTTACAGATATGTATATTTTAACCAATCAAATAAAGTTTTAAAGTAATAAATAAGGTCATTTTGAAATAATAATTACTTTCAAGTATTAGTTAATTAGATTAGAAAAAATTTGTTTATTTTTAATTAATGTAAATAACTTATTTAATTACCAAGGTTTAATAACAAGATTTTTTTTTTAATTATTCTAATTTTATAGATAATTTCTAATCTTATAGATAATTTCAAATTAAACTTATACTTTTTCAAATAAATCTAATTTTTTGGTTATTCATACGTACTTTTGAAGTTATAGAGTACTTGGTATTTATATAAAAATGTAAATATTTTATTTTTATTTTCTTCTACAACTCCAAAATGTAGAAGAAAACAAAAGTAACATAGAAAACTTTTTAATTTCTTAAACATAATGAGGTAAATTATTACCATATTTTACTTTCCACTTACTCCACTCTCAAGTAAAATATGGTAATAATTTACCTCATTATGTTTAAGAAATTAAAAAGTTTTCTATGTTACTTTTGTTTTCTTCTACATTTTGGAGTTGTAGAAGAAAATAAAAATAAAATATTTACATTTTTATATAAATACCAAGTACTCTATAACTTCAAAAGTACGTATTCTCTTAACAATGGAACTGAATATAGTGCATAAATAAAATAAGCTTTTTAAACTAAATATCTTTTTCCTTAAATGCAAAAGTACATTATTTTCAAACCATGTCACGATTAAATGTATTTGATATATTATTTTATATATACACATGTATACATATATTCAAAAAGTAATATATCATTGAAAAACATTAGATAATTTATTGATCTTGATACCTGTAGACAAAATTATTTCTTCCCATGCATCTTCAAAATTGTGATCAGGAATCACCTCTCGATAGCCCAATCCATACTCCATTTTATATACACCTTATAATCAATTAGTGTTTCATTAATTTACATTGGCTGTTATCATTGTTTACACATTTCATATTATCACTAATCTTATAACATCTCAGTAAAAATATATTACATTATATATTGTAGATTTTATTTATATTATATATATTTATTTTTTCTCGTAAAATCAAGCTAATACAGCATTACTTAAGAAAACGTTTAAATATGTTTGCAAAATATAGCACTACAATGTCTCGTAAACTTAGCAACAATAATTTACAAAGATAGATTGAATAATTATTTTCAAGAAGCTATTAAATGTTCGTTCTACAAATACCACCGAGAATCTTTCTGAACTATTACTTTATTAAAAAATGTATAGTAAAATCATGGTTGCATATCGGAATTAATTTTTTACCACCCTCAGATCAGCTCCGGAAAATACTCAAAATAAAAAAAATAATTTTCAATAGAGTCGAATTTGCTCGGTTCACCTATGTTGGACAAATAATTTGCTCGTATTATATTTTCAAAAAAAAAAAATATGAGTGTGTTTCTTTTTTAAGCAAACTTTATACAATAATATCTTGCCGAAATATCAATATTTGTTCAATCATAAGATCTTAAAAAATTGCTCACATTACAAAAAATTAGATCCGTTATAATAAATTTGAAAAGTACATTATTTTTTATAAAGAAATTCAAATAATATTAGTTATCTACGTATCTAGGGAGAGCCTCAGCGGATTACGTCGAGACGCGTTGGCTACGCGGCCTCGGCACTTTACTCCCACCTATCAACGTGCCAAGACATATCCGAGTCTCTCCCTTGATACATAAAAAATTTTTCAGTTTTGGACCCCGTAGCGCCTAATTTTCGAGACACAATGGGATTAAAATAAAATTAAAAAATTAGTAATTTTTTAGAACATTTATTATGATATTATTTAAATAAAATTAATATACTCGCGCCATAGTACATTACGATACAAGTGCGGGAAAGTAGATTCTTGTCTCGTATGGCGTTTACGCCCGAGCGAAGCGAGGGTAGAATGGTACGCGAGAAGAGAAACTCTTTCCGAACATGTGCCGTACCGTATTTTTTTATACGACGTGTGGAAAGTGCGATTTTTAACGTACGTTTTTTGCTGAGCGTGCGGGAAAAACGCACTTTCCGCACGGAGTGTCGAAAAGTATCTACAGGCCATAATATGCCTGATAGTATCGTCGAGGAACCGTAGGCTCCTCAACTATACTCATAATTATGGTCGAGGAACAGCGCTCGTACCTACTGAGTAAACTCTGCGCGTAATCAGGCGCATACGGGTTCCTAAACTGAAAACATATGTTAAGTTATGCAGGTAGTTTGACGAGCTAGGTATGGTGTCGCAATGCGCACTAGGCCTGCTTTCGTACGTTGCAGTGCTTGAGGCCCCGGTCACATAGGTACATACGGATGCGGACGGATACGGACGCGAATCGCAACTCTAGTAACATCATTAAAAATATCTAATTCGATTATTTAGTACCAACACTACCGATAGTGAGCAAAAGTGACTGTTGTTTAAAACTGTATCGCCGAACGTACCACATTTAATGTTCAAATGTCAGGTCTACAATTTACTTTTCAAATTCACATGAATATTGCTTATTAATGAGTATGCTAGTGTAAAAAAAGTTTTTGGGATGATTAATACTTATCATATATATATATTTTTTCTTCTTCTTCTCATATATTCAAGTACTTCCAAAAAATTAAGGCCTAATTCCACTAATTATAGTTAAAAGTCTATCAATTCTCTATCATTTGCCATCTTATAGACTGCATTAATGTAAAGGTTAGATAGACGTTTATTAAATGTGGTACGTTTGGCGATACAGTTTTAAACAACAGTTACTTTTGCTCACTACCGGTAGTGTTGGTACTAAATAATCGAACTAGATATTTTCAGTGATATTACTAGAGTTGCGTTTCGCGTCCGTATCCGTCCGCATCCGTATGTACCTATGTGACAGGGGCCTGACAACGATGAGCTTTCGGTACCTCCCTTACCCCAGCCAGAATGTTATTAAAAAAAAAAATACCAATCGAAATATCTCTAACTGCTCCCTTATGGTTCATTAGAAAAAAAAATTATAAATAATATGACAATTACGGAATCTTTCAAGAGCGATATCTTGAAAAAAAATTGTTATCTTCAAAAAATAAATATCTGAAAAAACTGTACTTTGGCTAATCTTAATTGAGCAAACTTTATTTTCCGAAAAATATCAATACTAATGATAAATAATTGATAAAACCGATTCTCTCCTTAACAATACTATAGTAATGAGCAGTGCGCATGCGCGATTTACGAAATTTAGGCTGGAAGATTGCACGATTTTGGATTTCTGATAAACAACAACCTATTAATTATAAATATAACACCCTATCAAAGCATAATAACACGAGTACAGATTCATCGAATCCACATTCTCATTGAAGAAATCGTCGAAAATTACAGCGACAGAATTTTTGTTAAGGGCGACAAGCTCGGAGCCACAAGTATTATCGAGCACGAGATCTATACTACCTCCGAAGTACCAATCAGACTCCGACAGTTTAGGCATCCCCGCAGATCAGTAAATTTATAAATGAACAAATGCAGGAAATATTAGAAAAAGAGGTTATCGAAAAATCAACTAGCGCATACTGCGCACCAGTCTTTTGCGTGCCCAAAAAGAATACGGAAGATGGTGAACCGCAACCGCCGCGCATCATATTTGACTATCGCGCGATAAATAACATTATTCCGGATTATAATTTCCCAGTCCCTCTACCTGTCGACTTATTTGAACGGATGGCCGGTGCGCAGCTATTTTCATCATTCGATATGTATTCATCACATTATCAGATAAGTATTAAAAAGGAACACAGGCATAAAACGGTATTTCAATGCGAGTCAAGCCTATATCAGTTTTAGCGCTCGCCCTTTGAACTGAAAACTAGTGCACCAGTTTTTCTGTCACTAATAAATATACTAGTATCAGACTGAAAAAATGTAGTAGCATTTTTCGATGATATTTGCGTATATTCTCAAACATTCGACGAACACTGCGAGAGCATCGTCGAATTAATGAAACGCCTTCGCGAAATTAATCTGGTCCTTCATCCGAAGAAAAGCAAAATTCTACGCCCGGAAATTGAATATCTCGGACATATAATCTCGAAAGACGGACTACGCCCGTGCAACGACAAACTACGCGCAGTAAAAGAATTTCCGGTCCCGCGCACGCCAAGGAATGTTAAACAATGGCTCGACCTGCCAGGATACTATAGACGATTCACAGAAAATTTTGCTAAAATCGCTAAACCACTTACTACTCTCTTAAAAAAACACCAGCCGTTCGTTTAGGCGGAAGAGCAGTAAAGAGCTTTCGAGACACTCCGTGACAAATTATGTGAACCTCCGGTGCTCAGACACCCGGATTTCGACAGGACATTTTTTCTTACCACTAATGCATTCAAAATCGAAATCGCAGAGTCGCTTTCTCAATTTGATGACGAAGAGCGAGAACAGGCTGTAGCATACGAGTACATCTCACGTATCCTCATACCTGCTGAAAGTAATTACCCTGCTATTCGTCTCGAACTATTATTAATAGTATGGAGTATTTCACACTTCAGACCATATCTGTACGGTCGAAACTTCATCATCATTACTGACCATAGACCATTGGTACATTTATATTCGATAAGCGACCCAAATTCATAAGCGACTCATCAGCGACTATTGTTACAAAATTTTAATTTCAAAGTCAGATATAAAAAAGGCGCATCGAATGTCAATGTAAACGCACTTTCTTGAAATCCTATACAGGAAATCGAACAGCTCAATAAGCATTTGCAAGCAACTAGGCAAGATCCGGTTCAAACACTGCTCTTGACAGCTCACTAGATGATGACACCAAAAGGCCAGGAAATACGCACGATATGACAACGCGACACGCGAGGGGCCGACAACCAAGTACAAAATACCTGGAAGCCATCGAGTCCCTCCTGCCGCGTCAGAAAAAAAATCCGCCTCTTCAGGAAGTGGTCACGCCAGTAAGAGAACCAGACACGCATACTAATTATCCTACAGTTGCCGAAAACACGTACTGCTCCGAAGGCAATAAAATTTGCACACAATAAAATACGCATGATGAAGACTAAAAATAAACAGGATACATAACTAAAATAGGATATCACCTTTTTAAAAAACGTGAAGTCTGAAGACTCAGTCAACTCCCCTACCGAACTCATAACATTACCTAATGAAAACATTATATATTGTCGGCATGCACTATTTACGAGGCGAGACAATTACTTATACTTCACTGACACCTTTGGTAACCCCCTGAATGAAGGTGCAATCAGCTTATTTAAGCATGATAAACTACCACAAGTGAACAAATTACAATTATCCGCTCCCACTGTAATCAAAATAGGGAACAAGATGCATTTTATTATCTCAATCCGTCATGAAAATAGAGAGACTACGGAAAACATTAGAAATCATATATACCTGGCACTGAAGCAAATAAATTTAACTGAAAATAAAATTAAAACCGTCAGTGTAGCCCAAAGGAAAAAAATTGAACTCGTCCAATTCTTTGAAATTTTACGAATGATAAAAAATACACTGGGTCCTTCTGAAGTCAAGATTATAGTATGTCAAGGACATATTGTTTTCACCCCCATCGAGCATCGTCAACAAATAATCGAAGAAGCCCACTGTTCAGCGATAGGCGGTCATAACGGTTGCAATAGAACATACAAACGTATCAAGAATAAATACTACTGGATGCATTTAAAGGAAGATGTGCAAGAATTTATTCAAAAATGCTTACCATGCCAGTTGAGAAAATTAAATAGACATAATGTTGAACAAAAAATTATCATAACCGATACTCCGCCGGTTTTTTAAGGTCAGCATAGACGTAGTAGGCCCACTTAAACCTACTGAAGCGGGAAACCTTACTTCCCTGCATATGCATGTATACCAAATACGTCATAGCGACACCTATGCTAGACCAAACAGCTACTACTGTAGCTGATAACCTCATTAAAAAACTAATATGTACCTTTGAAGCACCTAACGTCATAGTAAGCGACAGAGGCACTAACTTCATTTCAAAATTAATGAAACATATTGCAGCTCGCTTCAAAATTAAGCATATTACTACAATGGCTTATCACCCAC